GATTTCTATCAAAAGGCGCCGCGAGGCGGCGCTGTTCGCGCTTCGCGCGTATATCCGGCTGCAGATCGTCGAGCGGCGAATATACTGAGCGCCATTTCTGTTGACCTGTGACGTACACATTCCCAATACGCATAGCGATCGGCAAACGCAGCGCCCTCCGATTCAGCCAATTGGTCGGTGAATGCGTTCTTCAAACCGAAGTAAGTCACAGGTCAACAGAAATGGCGCTCATAATATTCGCCGCTTGTCACTTCGAATTTTTGTAACAGGTTATATTAGTTTAATACAGAGTATTGTGATACATAGTAAGTTCCAAGATAGTGGAGAAAGGTTCGTGTTGAGAATAAACTCAGTTTGGAAGTTCTAGTCTCTGAAAACGCACCAGCAAACCGCCCTGAGTGATTCGCTCAGGGGTTCCTCCACACAAAAGGATAGGGACGCGTTGTAACCCTATCCTGGGTTTCGGTTACATTATTGTATCTACGTTTACACCCCCATGTCGGGAGTTTCCCCCTGAGGGGGTACAGTCTTAAAAATTTACAGAGGTCGTCTTGAGGGTGTTGTCAACTAATTTTTAGCAAGATATATAATTGTAATAGTTGCTTAAAATGGTTTTTATTACAAAATTACGAAAATATACAAAATAATTAGATAACATTTCAATATTTTTCGAATCGAATCGAGAGGCTAATAGCGAGATACGGATTGAATCAAGAGGTATGTGTATCGTTACAGCCCTAGTAGCAAGTCGATCTTACAACATTGATTTCATCATCAAAATGCCTAGAAAAAACATCTGCATACCTTATCAACTTAATCCATCATTGGTTTTCACTTCCATCCTTCCAGTCTAGTCACGACATTTTCCGATGTCGCCCAAAACCGTTGTGTCAAACCTCCACGTAATGATAAAAAAAATCAGCTGATACGCCCTGCCTGCTCTGCAGGGTTGCGCGATCCATCGCTAAAACATATCTAAAAGAACATATCGCTACAAAGTAATAAGGATAAGACTGTTTCACTGACTCTTGCTTGTCCGAAAAATGTTGTAGTGTGCGGCATCGCGTAGTAGCTGTTGAACAGACTATAAGTATAATGCAGATCGTTAATGATGTCATGTTTCACGCGTGCATTCTCGATTTCAAATTTGTAGAATGTTGCTAAATTCCAGCGTGATATCCATCAGGTAAAACAGTAATGTAGGCTATTTGCTCATTAATTCTATAAATAAAAATGTAGGTACTCACTACACAATACAAATAAAACAAAACAATAACAGTATTAGTTACTACGATGCTGGTTATTCAGCTGCTGGTGACCTGTATGCTAGGGTTTGAAGCGTGGGCATCACTGAACCTTGGTGACACATGGAAATTCAAGATGATACTGTTCTTAACCCGCAGTGTGTCTGAACAGTGAAGTTATATTGACTGTGTTAAGATAAGATGAGCCCTATTATGTTACTACAAACTAGCTCTACCCGGGAAGCCCTTCACACTACCACAGGATGTGCCCAGTTTTGACCAGTCTGTGGCTGGGTGAAGGGCTGCATGGGTAAAGATAAAGTTCTGCAAACTTACTACATTTTTTACTATCGTTCAATAACTAATGTTTTTCTGCCTGGCGACCATGGGAGGTCCGATTAGTCGTAACAGTTTTCTGATCAGAGTTTCTTTGGATTTCTTCTGCCTTCTGATTGACGCTGTTATCATCAATAAGTTCAACTCTTTAGCTGATGTTCGTACTAGTTTTATTCGTCATTAACCAATGATAACAGCGTCTAAAACACGTAAGACAAAGGAAATGAAATAAATGTGAGAACATAGTGCTATAATCGTATACCCACAACACTTATCATAGCAGATTAGCGTTAAGTTGTAAAATAATGTATATATTGTATAATTATAATGTAAAATAACAGCTGACATTTTTTTATTGACCAACAAGTACACACATTATGTGTAGACACATAAAGTTGAGAGAGAAGAGAAAGCACAAGAGAAACAGAGAGAGAGAGAGAGAGAGAGAGAGAGAGAGAGAGAGAGAGAGAGAAACAGAGAGAGGGAGAGAGAGAAACAGAGAGAGAGAGAGAGAGAGAGACAGAGAGATAGAGAGAGAGAGAGAGAGAAACGGAGAGCGAGAGAGAGAGAGAGAAACGGAGAGCGAGAGAGAGAGA